CTGGTTTAGGACACTGCCTATGTCCCCATCATTCAAAACGCTTAAAAACATGTTTTTTTTGTTGTTTTTTTTAAATCTGAAAACGGAAAATGCAGAAAGTTTTCTGTAAGGGGTACGTTTAGGTGTAGGGCTGGTTTAGAAAATATAGTTTGTACAGTATAAAAACCAATATATCAGCCATTATACATACCATTATATAACCATTATATAAACCATTATATTCCCTTATATCAGGATTTAGTAGAGAACCGCTGGAGAAGGATTTCTTTCCCTTTGTGATCCCAGAAGAGCAGTCCGTTCCACTGCATGCCGTCTAAACTAACATTATTCTGACTGATGAACAGAAATTGTTTCTGAAGAGACACTGAATCTTGCTCATCACCTGCATTTGTTTTTAATTCCTGATTCTGATGCAGATAAACATCTGTGGAAAACTGTTCAGATATCAGGTGTCATCTGTTGTTCTGGGTGTTTTAGTGGAGACTTCAGTGAGTTAAAGGTGTTGGTCTGTAGAAACACTCTGGGCTCTTCATTTGGTGTGATTTTATAAAAGCTACTGTAGATGACATTGTTTCAGAGGATTCACAGTCTCAGTTTCATCTGCTCGATTGTCAACAGCTGTTAGATCAATGTGTTTTCTCTCCGTTCAATATATTATAATGATAAGATTACCTATTATTTATTTCTGTAATCATAACTTTAATGAGATAATGTTCTTGATCACTAATTAATCCATTCAAGCATTCATGGCTGTTTTTATACAGTTTTGGCTCACTGTTTAACACTGTTGTCATTACAAATTGGTATAAGCTAAAATTACAATTCTGAGCAATTTATGATTTTGTTTTGTTGCTACCTTGACATGTAATGTTGCATTTTTATATATTTTTTCTGTTTATATTGTTTTATATTTATTTTTCTTGTGTTTTGGATGTCAACAATTTGGTCAAGTAAGCTAAATATGTGGTTGTATTCAAATTACAAAATATAAATTAATTTGACTGAATCAAGCTGAATTCAATAGGTTGCATTTGTGAAAATAACTTATTTCATGGTCAGATCAGGTGAAAATGTCTCTTTAGTGTAACAGCTGCATGATTTAATACAGCTTCAATAAATCTTTGCACATGGTGAGTCACATTCACTGTCATGTTACATCTGTAAAGTTCAGATTCAGTGCTGAGAGATTCAGACTCTAAACATTGAGATGAAGCAGTGATGTACTGCAGTGTGTGATTAAAGCATGTGTTCAGACAGACGTCTCTCCTCCATTTCATGTGTCTTTCTGATTTCTCCTCTCATTCTTCATCTTCATTGGTTGCTCTCTCATGTCCTGAAGGGATGTTGTTGGAGTCTCTGCTGCTGGACGGGGGTCTCTTGTGAGTCTGTGTCCAGGACAGTCTTCTCTCTGTGGGACACGGCCAGAGTCTGTCCATGTTCTGTCTGGATCATCTGACCGCTGGGAGACGACTGATATACATGAAGGATGCACTGTATGAATGCAAGGTGAGACAAACATAAATGGTTATCTGACCACAGCTGTCCTGTTAAACAAAAATGTTGAATCATATCATCACTAACATAAAGCTGATCTGTCAACCCAAACTCATTTGATTCTTCTTTTGCCATATTTTACCCCACATAATTTCTATAGTAATGGACTTTGTGGTGTGGATAGGACCCTTGGTTTATCATGCCTCACAAAATACGGAAGCAGCCCATCCTGATAGATATTGCCTACCAGAAAAGATGTGCTACTGACATTTTGAATGTGTTTGCCACAGTGGTCATATATCTCAACAGGTTTGTTATCTGTCTCTCACAATGTACTTCCCATGTTGTGAACATGACAGTTTTAAATAAGGTCAGATTTAATGCAGTGATGACTGGTAACAATTTCTATTCATACTGTATTTGTTAAGCTACATAAAGCAGCTTAAACTGCTCTGTGACTCACGTGACAATGTTAGGAAGCTGCGCCAGACTCTTTCATGCGAGTAAGAACGAAAGTGAAAGTAAAAAAACAAAAAACAAACAGCGTCGTCATTGAACCCGAATATTCAAATGGCCGCGTATTACATGGTAAGTTTAGAAATGAATGTTCTTGTAAACATCCAATCATATATAAACCTGTGCTGCTATTTGAGGTTTGCTTTGCATTCATATATACACGCATATAACATGAATAATTATTCTGGTATCAAAGCCGTCTTGTATAACTCTGTTTACATCCTGGATTCTGTGACGACGAATGTTCGACGAAAACTGGCTAAACATTCTAAACTGTTGTAAACATTGTCTGCAACACTGTTTGACATAAACCAGTATAAAGAATGTAAATGAAACAGCCACACCTAAACACTGACCAGAAACGGCTAGCATCTAGCAACTTGGTTCCGCTTTTCTGGATTCATTGAGCTGCAGTTGTACTGTATCGAATTTGCTTTTTATTGTTCTGAACCTTAGCAGTAATACCGTGAGTGCTCTAGGACAAATTATTATTATGGGAAAGGTAATTTCCTGCAGCGACACTACAGAAAACCTGTGTATAATATTCTCTCTATTCCTCTGAACTTTTTATTGCAGTACTTGACTTTAACAGAGTAACTAATGCTAAGGCTGGTCTAAAATTACTTCTTGTTTGTCTGGTTTTTGTTAGTATCTCCAAGTGTAAGAAACAGAGATCAAACTCTCCAGAACCTTGTAGTGTATCTGTGAGGAATAACAGATCTTTGGAGCAAACACCTGCATTAATTGATGCAAAAATGACGTCTGACCTGAGGTAAGACACTAGCCATTTTTCATTTAGTAAATGCTTTTATCCGAAGTAACTTACAGTGCAATCCAGAAGCCTGCAGTCAGTAAGTGAGTGGAACTTAATGACATTTATAGAGAGACCCGAAATATTTTCCTTAACATTCAATGTCACCATGTTCCTCATTGGTGGAATGATTTTTCCAAGCCTATCTAAACAAGGTTTTTGGCCTACCCTTGGAAAGGAACATTTAAACACTCATCTGTTTCATGAACTCTTCACTGAAACCTATTAATAGACTATCTTCTCTCTTAAATTGAGCCATTTTCTAATCACTACTCATCTGATCAATCTAGGAACTTTGTATTACAGCAGATGTCATGTCACTTAATCACTTTTTGAAATCCTTATTTGTAAATGGCTTTGAAAAAGGTTCTTATAAATGAAATGTAAATGAAAAAGGTACATTCAAGCTATAGACAAAAGCTAGTGATTGAGACAAGACTGACAACGATTGGTCTAAAATGCTATTTTCTTTGTCTTTTGTCAGGACCACCAGAAGGAAGCGACAGAGATCAGAATCTCCAGAACCCAGCGGGGTGTCTCTGAAGAGTAGCAGGTCCATGGAGCAACCCCCTAAACTCAGTGATACAACTATGACCTCTCACCCTCTGTTAGTATAAACAAATTTACTTTAGTGCATCTCAGATTAATAATGACTTAATTAGTTCAGTGAAATGGCACTAAATGTTCCAAATGCTCCAAAAACAGAACACGCAACATAGACAGACAAAGAAGGGCGTCAAAATAATATAAATAGTAAAAAAATATAAAAATACAAATTCTGATGGCCTTCAGCTGGCATTATAATTTTTTCTGCTCTTTTCTTTTCAATTTTAGCAGTAAAGATATACATGAGCTGAGCATATTTGTGCCATCCACTTCATCCAACTATCAGACCCACATCAGGCAGGACAAAGCTGAAGTCATCTGGCAGAAACACAATCTGGAGTCTGTAGATCTGCAGAGAGTCAAAGACCGGCACAAAACCAGCATGAAGAACAAACATGAGAAATTATTTGAGGGAATCAAACTCCAAGCTAATGAAATATTCGTGAATATGATCTACACACAGCTCTACATCATAGAGGGAGAGAGAGAAGGAGTGAATGAAGAACATGAGGTTTTACAGATGGAGAAAACAGCCAGAACACAACACTCACAAGACACTCCAATCGACTGCAATGACATCTTTAAAGCCTCAGCTGAACCAGGATGTGAGGAGAAAGACCAGATCAAGACTGTTCTTACTAAAGGCATCGCTGGAATCGGAAAAACCGTCTCTGTGCAGAAGTTCATTCTGGACTGGGCCGAGGGAAAAGCCAATCAGGATGTAGATTTCATGTTTGTGCTTCCATTTCGAGAGCTGAACTTGATCCGAGATCATCAGTCTGGGATTTGCACTGAGATCTTTAAGGAGGAATCTGTGATTCATCAGAAGAAAGTCTACAGCTTCATTCATCTGAGTGTTCATGAGTTTCTTGCTGCTTTCTATGTGTTTTACTACCACATAAGCAGCACTACAGAAGCATGTTTAGATTCACTGCATAATCTGCATAAAAGAGCAGTAGATAAAGCCCTAGAGAGTGAGAATGGTCATCTGGATCTGTTCCTGCGGTTCCTGCTGGGCGTCTCACTGGAGTCCAATCAGAGACTCTTACAGGATCTACTGACACACACAGAGAACAGCTCAGAGAGCATCAGAGAAACCACACAGGACATTAAAGAGATGATCAAAGATGCACATGATAGTTATCGTCTCTCAGCTGGTCAATCCATCAATCTGTTCCTCTGTTTGCTGGAAGTGAAAGATCAGACTCTGTCCAGAGAGGTTCAGGAGTTTGTGAAATCAGACAAACACTCAGAGAAGAAACTCTCTCCTGCTCACTGCTCAACAATCGCCTACATGCTTCAGATATCAGAGGAGGTGCTGGATGAGCTGGACCTCAAGAAATACAACACATCAGATGAGGGGAGAAGACGACTGATACCAGCTGTGATCAACTGCACAAAAGCCCAGTGAGTGTTAAATTCTCAACCACCTTTCACTTTCAAATTTATTTGCAGTACATTGTATTGTACATTGATATCTTTATAAATAATAAATAGACTATTGTGTTTGAAAATGCTTAACTGAGATTAAAGTTTAAGTAACATATTTTTGATTATATATTTTGTCCCATAGTTTTGCTGGCTGTAATATCACTGCTCAGTGTTGTAAGAGTTTGTCATCAGCTCTACAATCCTCAAACTGTGTCCTGAGAGAGCTGGATCTGAGTAACAATGACCTGCAGGATTCAGGAGTGAAGCTGCTCTCTGATGGACTGAAGAGTCCAAACTCTCAGCTGCAGATACTGAGGTTTCTAGTAGTACTATTTTTATGTGTCTTATCTCTGATAGATTTGTCCATGTCTAATATCTTGTAATGATTAGTCTGATTTCATTTTAAAGAATTTAGAAGATTCCATTAATTTGCCCTCGATAAGGGCAGCAGTTGAGATGGTAACTGCTCCCCATCTCTCTTGAACTAGGCTGATGGTAGGATTCAATTATTGCCAGAAAGATTTCTAAACACATAATGTTTACTGTGATCCCATGTTGGAGACTCTTCCTTCTGGCAATTCATAAATCAGGAAATTTAAATATACAGTCTGATGACCATAAGTGATTTAATCCAAACCATTCATGTCTAGGCTGATATAATGAATTAAGTTCAATATGAAAGAGAGAGAGAGAGAGAGAGAGAGAGGGAGAAAAAAATATATGTCATATATTTGACATTCAATTTATAAATTTTTTTAAGTGAACACCTGCATCTTAAGCAAGGATGCGAGATGTTGCTTGAAAATCAAGACAAATCAAGAAAGATCCAAATGCATAAAACACGTTAATGCCAGGGGTAAAGATGGCTTTGTTGTGCAGGTTGGTAATACTTAAAGATGCAGTCCGTAACTTTTTTTTGGTTAAAAATGATCTGAAATCAATATTTGAGCAAGTACATAACCAGCCAGTGTTCAAAACTAGAGCCTTACTTTAGCCCGATTCACAAAGGTTAGTTTATAATAATATTTTCTCATTTGAGTGGTACGGGTAGGTTTTCGCGGAAAATTCAAGCATGGCACTGCGTCATTACGTCACGTCTGTAAACATAAAGAAGTTGTCCTGGCTACTAGGCTATCGCATGTGAGGATGCTGCAGGTGGCCGATCTTTTATAGCCTTTTCTCACAGCAGCCAGAATAATTAAATGCATCAATTTGATGGCGGATTGTAATCCAGAAAGGATTATGTGTTTATGAAACACATGTGAATTATATTAAATTATATTCCAGTTTTAAATGTGCGTCTGATTACAGATAGCCTGGGATTACACAAGTAATTCGAAACCAGTTCGAAAAGAGCATAATTAGCTTTTTGGGTAAAATAATTTCTTAATATGAAATTCGAATGGTATGACAATTAGAGATTAGACTGTCCAGAAATAGAAATCTACACACTATACTCATAGTCACGCAATGCTGATGTTGTTAACATTAACAATTTGAGAATAAAGTGTAACAATAATAATAATTTGCACGGTTTGATGTGATATGAGCTAACCGATCTTTAGATTAAATCACCATTGGTAGCACGATTTATTGTAATGCTTTTTTCCTCAGTTGGTCAGAACAAACGTGGCAGACTTGTTACTTACTTGTTCAGATGACAATATACGGTGAACATTTTTATTTGGGTCATATATTCCAAGATGTAGGCTAGAATCTTTGATTGCGAAGTACAGTAAATATCCACACCGGTGCGGTGACTGACTGCCACACATACTCCTCAAAACATTAGATTCATATGCACTGGAACCGTGCACAACCTTCCTTGCACAACCCACGCAAGGAAGATAATTCCACACACAGCTGCAATTGCAGGTTTTCAAACAGAGATGGCGACAAAGAGGCAAAACTTACGGACTGCAGTTTTAAGTGAAGTTTACATTCACTAATCATTTAGCAGAATTTTTAAAAAACTAAATTAACTAGCGGATTAAGAATACAACAAATACATAAGCTACACTTTTAAGGTACTTTAGAGCAATGATTTTTCTCAAAAATGAAAATTGTGTAAATTTTGTGTAAATCACCTTCATCTTCCAAATCGTGTGATTACTTATTTCTGTAAAACACAAAAGGAGAAGTTGTGCAATACAATTTTGCAAAAAAAATGTCCAAGCAGATCTAATTTATATCATGGAAATATATAGTAACCAGGGGCGTAAATTTCGTCTAACAGTAGGGGGGGGGACAATAAACATATTTCTCAAGGGCAGTTTTTGAAGGGGACACAAATAATACAGCTAAAATTGTACTTGTAAGGATATGTATACACAGAGGAAAGCTTTACTACTATTACTGCAGCAGGGAGGCTGTGCCAAATTAGACAACTTCAAGCTGTTGTGGTCGCGCTGTGACAGCTCTCGTGTCCGTTGTCCGTTGTACTATCCTTCACAGTGTTGCAGAGTCTGCGGTTTTCCCATGGAATTGGACTACTTTACCACTTACCACTCGGGTTGTTTTTCATGTCCACGGGTTGAAGCGACCCCAATAATGTGATATTTAGCCCCTGGAATATGATTTTTACCAGGGAACCCCCTCCGAAATGTAGTTAGTTTGGGCTAGTTTTGAGTAGGAATTGGGTGGGTTTTGATGTGAAAACCTGGCTACCCTGTCCGTCAAGCAGGTAACGTTATTATAGATAACATAGCGGACTCATCGAAAAATACATTGGCATCATCTGTATTAAAGAGAAAATAATAACTTAATCCGGTGTTTAAGTGAATAAAATAGCCTTGACAGCCTTGGAGTTCCACAGCTATTGACTTTGTTCTCTATCACCGGACTCGTGTGTGTGTGTAGGTGATGTAAAAGAGGAAAGCAGGCATTTGGACCAAAGCACTGTGAGGTGAGGGAGGGGGAGACTCAAAATGTTTCTAAACTCAAAACGCATTTTTGCCTCGTTACTTACACAATTATTTAAAGTATAAAACATTGTTATTTACAATACACAGCGTGGTTTTTAATCATATTTTTAGGGGGGACAACCCTCAGATGTTTCCGCCTATGATAGTGACCAGTTGTCAAATTCCAAAAGGACAAAACACATGAATGAGATTTCAGACATTCTCTCTCTGTAGGTTGTCTGGCTGTATGGTGACAGAGGAAGGCTGTGGTTATTTGTCTTCAGCTCTGAGTTCAAACCCCTCACACCTGAGAGAGCTGGATCTGAGCTACAATCACCCGGGAGATTCAGGAGGCCAGCTGCTCAACCACAAACTGCAGGATCCAACCTATAAACTGCAGATACTCAAGTAAGTTGAGCGGTTATATTATTAAAATATAGATATATTATAGTTTTGTATTTTCTGAACTGCTCGAATGTGTAAGCACTCAACACCACAATCAGTGCAGGAAAACATGTCTGTTAAAGGTTACTTGTAGTAGGTTTTTCACCCGACCACTCTGTTTATATGGATTAATTTTTTGGATTAATTTTCTGGGTGACAGTATACATGACCTTGTCTGTGAAAACCCAGCTTAAGTCATTTTTTTGGGATTCACTGTTTCTTACCCATCTTAGATTATGGTGATATTATTTACATGCATGTTTCTTTTTACTTACTAAAAAGGCTGGATAGTGTTTATCACGCTGTAAAATAATGCACGATACCGACACTGCTTTCAAACGTTCAGTGCTGCTTTACTTCTTTTTCTGCAGTGCACACACACATGAGGAGGAGGAGCCTATACTAATCAACCACAGAGTCCGGAGTGTTTCTTAAAGACACTGACAAAATGACAATACATCGTCCCTCCTCAGCAGAAAACATTCCAACATAACTACTACAAATATATACACAGCTATTATGAATGTTAAACATCTGACTGCTATTTTTTGTCGTCTTCTTTTTTTTTTTTTTTAACTGCAGATAACATGCAAAACATCCAAGTAAAACATAAACAAAAGATTTAGCACACATTGTGTAAAAGTTGCAGTTAATGGTGCATGTAACAATAACAATGAACAGTCAAGCATCATCACATCTATCTTGGAAGGAGAGGTTACCAGCACGTCACTTCCACAAGGTGTCTTTACCACACCTTTCCCTAACTATAAGCAGAGCCTGTTTGGAGGCTTCACAATTCTGCCTCGCCTGGTGACATACTGTCCAGCTGGCAGTGTTTGTTTGCCAGATGAAAGCTCTTTAGGCGGTGATTGGGGCAAACTAGTGTGGTCAACAGGTCCATGCTCTTCATCACTCAATGTCTCTGATATTTCAGTCCAGTGTTCATTGTCAGGCCTGTGACGGGCCTCATTGGCTTTTGCGAAGATGCTGAATGTGAATGCGACGGTACTCCTTACTTCCGCAGTCTACAACATAAGATCTTGGAGCACAATGCTGTCCCACAACGACATCAGGAGACCACTTATGATTTCCAGGATATGGTTGCATCCTTACTTCATCTCCTGGATTCAGAGCAGGTCGAGGACCACTTGCCCTCTTGCGGTCATGGTAGATCTTTTGGATGCTCTTACTTTCGTCCAGTCGACGTTTCACTTTAAGAGGGTCATAAGCACTTGGTGTGAGCAGCTGCCGACCAGCAGGCAGGTTGTTACGGGGCCGTCTGCCCATTAGCAGCTGCGCTGGTGACAGGCCTACTGACTCTATCGGCGTTGTCCTGTAGTCGAGTAGAGCAAGATGTTTGTCTGTTGCCTTGCACCAGAGTTTCTTAACAGTCTGAACTGCTCGTTCCACTTCGCAGTTGGAGTGTGGCGTGTGCGGTGACGACGTTTTGTGTGTGACTCCATAGCTTCGGCAGAAGTTCTTAAATTCCTCTGCGGAATATTGTGGA